GTGGCACTTTAATACTATGTTAAATTCTCAAATGTATTTGGATATAGAAACTGTCCTTAATGTTTAGTGTGTTAATGTCATTGCTGCTTCTGTAGCTGGGATTATGTTCACTGACTTGCTCGCAATATATAGACAGACATTAGAAGTTAATGTAGCAGCAAAGGCAAAGTCGATTACACAAATCAGTTGTGAGAAACATCTTAATAATTAATTAAAATATTACTGTGAAGATGATGATACCGTTGTATGTGGTAACTGTGTCTCAACATGCTCCTACTTTTCAGATCTGTAGTATCTTTTAATGGCACCTGGTAAAGAAATAAAAAGAGTGAATTATTTGAGTGTAATATCATGATCATATCATCATGTATCATATCATCATGTATGATCATGTAATATCATATAATCAATTTGCCGTTGTGAAAATTATGAACAGGGACACCATAACCCAGCAACAAATGAGCAAGATATTCAGAGGAACAGGCCAAAAGTAATGTAACATCATTGGCAGAGGCCAAGATGACCATCAGTTGTGAGAAGCATCCTACTATTCATATGAATATAAGTATAACTTAGAATTTATGGATTGATCGTAAAAAAAGCACCACACTATAAAATGTGTGTTAATATATGCATGTACCATAATGATAATTTCATAGTCGAGTTGCCACTCCCATAGGGCAATAGCCGAACCTTGCAATGTGCATTCTTGTAAACTTTTATTACAAAAATGCATTCTTTTGGGACGGGGTAGTACAATTAGCTTGGTTGCTACTTCTTAGACATATAGGCATTATCAGCATGGTCGCGAATTTATGCGGGAAATAGAAAACGGTCAGGAATCAACAGAATACTTTTTCATTTTCGGTTCTAGTAAATGTTTTGAGAATAACAATATCCTAGCACGACATTGTTATTGAAAAACCAAATTGGCTGCTAAAACGTACAAGTGAGAGTACAGAAGAGCTGCAAAATTAGTATATTTTCTGAAATGATGAGTCTAATTAAAACTATATCCGCCTTTGATTTTTCTGTTCATTGTGATTTATCGTTAGACCTGGCCCCCGCTTCAAACACACAAAAAAAAAAAAAAAAAAAAAAAAAAAAAAAAAAAAAAATGTTGGTTTCCTGATTAAGAGCTTGGCTACCAATGTGATAAAGTCATTACGACACAAAGTCCCGTTTCACAAATAATCTAAAAGGTCGCTTACGTGTTTTTTTCCTAGCTGCTAGTCAACAATGTCCTCGGAAGGAGAGTTAAGTCAGCAAGCTCAACTTAAACTCGGTAAATGAGAGCGTAAACAACAAAACATTGGACAGAACATAACTCCTCCAAGATATTGTGATATAATATCCTTGAATAGCATTAACATTTATTGAGAATTAAAATAATAATAAAAAATAAATAAATAATGAAATTCAAATTCACCCAGCAGATGGCGGGTTTGTTTATGTTTTTGCCCGCTAGACGTCCGAGAGTAGAGTTCCAAGACAAACTAATGTTTTACTGTTACTTTGAAGTTGTTTTGAATTTAACAAATCAATAACGATAAAGAAAAAAAAAAACAAAATCTGAATTTTATTGTTGATAAGCGATCATCCTCGACTGAGCCATTGAGAATCATGTCTTGTGAAACTTTAGGAATTTTCACATCTCCTTTTCTTGAAGAGTTTCTCGTGAGCGTCGACTACCGTAAGCACACTGAACTAGGACTTTAGATTCTCTGTGAAACACTCCTAGTGGACTGCAGCGTAGTCGACCTAGCTAGGTCATTCAGCTCGAGCTACAGTTACAGGATTAATTTCGAGGACACTTTAATAGCCTTGGTTTATAATCCTTATGGTAGTTAAACGACTATTATCGGTGCGTTAATTATAGGCAATTAAACCTTAAGCCGTTGGGACCCAGCAGCGATAAATACTACTCTAACTCAACCTAAATTTACTCAGCTCGCTTTTAGCCACCTACTGTGAGCAGGACACCAACATCAATAGAAAAGCACTCCTGCACTCTCTTTTAGATAAACAAAGTGATAAACCCGATGGGGTGGGCGGGGTGAAAATACCGGCCTTTGTGAGTCGGAACAATAGCAGTTAAATGCTCTCAAATTGCCTTATACTGTTGAATAACTACGAAGAAAAAGACTGAAAAATAAATAACTGAAAGTCCCACCTTTTATAATACCTTTTTTTACATTTCAAATGACGAACATTTTGCTGTTGCGAAACACGCTAGTAAAAATCACGCACTATCTTTCCCGACTCGCGTTTATTCAATTTGATGCACTATAAAATAAAGAAATTTAACAGTTATAATTATATCATTGTCAAGGTATTTAATTTCAATGTAGAAATAAGTACTTCAGTCATGCAACATCGCATATGGACATTATCAGTGCATGTGGATGTTTTGATCTAAGCCAAATTTAGTGTATAATGCAAATGTGCCAAGAAGAGAAAAGAATGGTTTGGAGGATGAGATACCCAAAGTCGTAGACCTTTTTCTGATATCGAAAAGAGAGCTACTGATGCAGAGAAAAGCCTATCCTCGATCAAATGTATAACTTCCGCCAAGGAGGTTGTTTTCACCCCTGTTTGTTCGTCTGTCTTTTTGTTACCTCCACCAAGGAGGTTTTGTTTTCATCCCTGTTTGTTTGTCTTTTTGTCTGTCTGTCTGTCTATCTGTCTGTTAGTTTGCTTGTTTGTTTGATTGCCATCAACATTACTCAAAAAGTTACAGGCCGATTTTCAGGGAAGGTCAGAAATAAGTTGTATTAGAAGTGATTAGTTTTTGGTGGTGATCAAGATTAATAATCAACCAATTATCATTAATCAAAAATTTACATGGTAGGTCAGAAATGTGTCAACTTAGGAGTGGTTAGTTTTTGGTGGTGATCAAAACCAATTTTTAATCAATAGTCAATAATAAAAAATACTCAAAAAGTTATGGACCGATTGTGATGAAATTGTCAGGAACTGTCACAAGACGGCCAAGGAAGAGATGATTAGTTTTTTTGTGGTAATCTGGATCAATAATCAATAATAAAAAAATAAAAAAGGTCCACTCTGGGTAAAATTTGACATAAGTACATGGGGATTTTTCGGTAAAAGGTCCACTTTTTCAGAAAAAGACCCCCCCCCCCTTTGAAATTGCTGGCTACGGGCTTGATAAATAAATAAATAAATAAATAAATAAATAAATAAATAATTTAAAGAATTAAAGGGATAATAACTCTTCGTTTTGGCCAAAAAATGAATTTTCCTGGAGTAAACAACAATTTTCCCATACTTACCAATGGTTAATGAATCCATTTTTACATTCAAAGTTGGCCCCACGGTTTTTTTCTAAAAAGTTTGGTTTTTAGTTAAAATCTCTTAAGAGATTTTAACAGAGTATAGCCATCAATGGAGGTCACGTGGTCTAAAGACAAGTTCAGATATCAGAATAATAGCTATAACTGCCGTTTTTGTAGTAAAACAGAATATATTATATTTCTATGAGTTATTCACAATGTTTTTATTGTGAAATATAGATTTCATACGAAGAGTTATTATCCCTTTAAGTAAATTATTAGATGACATTAAGAATCAAATAAAAAATAGATAAAAATTAGATGGTATAAATCATGAAATAAAAGATAAATTATTTGAAATAATTTCATAAATAAATTATGATTTTATAATTAAATGAAAAAATCGCTGTGAAGAAATAATCATTGTCGCAGCTAACGCGGTGATTGTCTACCCATTATCAGGGCCACATATAGATTTTCACTAGTTACCAGTATAGACAGATATGTATCTGGTTATTTGATGGGACTTTTTTGCACGCGCGTTAGGGGAACGAGCACATTAACTTATTTTAAGATTGAAGTGAGTGTCCTATCATTTGAAAGCCAACGTATTTCAAAATTGTGACTGGCGGCCATCTTGGATTTCAGGATCAAAATGGCTACCAATTGTCTCCAAAGCACCAAGTATGTGTTCTTTACCTTGAATTAAGCCATTTTGGTCTCTTACACTTGTTTCAAGCTATTTGGATTTTATAAAACATTTTGTACTAATTAGACTACATGGCACATGTAAGTCTATGTGACAACTTAAGCCTACATGTATATTGATTTTGGAGGCTAAAATGGTTTGTACTCACATTTTATGAAAGAGATAATGTATTCTGCACCAGAAAATAATATAAAACGACGTATTACTCATTTACAGAGATGTAATACATATAGTTTCAAAATAGCGAATTATGCCCAATTTCAAAATGGTTTTTGGCGGCCATCTTGGATTTGAGGGATAAACGGCCACCAATGGTCTCCATAATGGTAAAAATGAGTTTTTTTGCTCTAATATAGTCCAATAGTGATTGTATATAACAAGAAATTGCATTGAGATATATATTTGAATACGGGTTATCAATATCCATGGTTTTGCAGCATTCACACAAATCTTGGTAGGCACCTAAAACACCGGGAACGCTTCCAGACATCCAGTTAAACTGTCTAAGCGCGTCTGCATTCGCGTGTTTTTTTCCTTTTCTGAGTTCAATAGTAAAATTGAAAGGGGAGCAAGTCAGTATCCATCGACATCCATGTCACAATCTTTTTGTGACAATAACCATTTAAGGCTATCGTGGTCTGTGACGACTTTAAATTTTGAATGCCTAAGGAAATATCGAAATACTTTATACTTTGTACAACTGCCAATCCTTCCAATACTGTGTTGGGATGTTTTTCTCGTGTCTTTTTAAACCTCTCCCGGCATAAGCAATGACTCTTGCTTTACAGTCTTATATTTGTGATAAAACCATATCTAACGCGTGTGAACTCGCGTCGGTGTAAAGAATAAATGAGAGATTAAAATTGGGATACGCAAGAATTGGAGAAGATGTAAGCGCTGTTTTCAGGGTGTCGAAATGGATATCTTCTAACTGGTCTCAAATATCTAAAAAAAGGTCCCCTCTTACCTTTCATTTCTTTTGTTTGTCCCGTTGCCATCCTTCTTTTGGATAGATGGTGACTGGTCCTTTTATATCTGACATTATTCCTGTCGAAATTATCTTTCTCTTTTGGCACCCTCCACCATATGTGGCGACGTTATTGTTCTTTTCTCCAAATAATCCTTTTGCAGATGAGTCCGTTAATGAAAATTTCGGCACTGAAAGACTTGCGAGGGACATCAAGGAATACACAGAGAGTGGTACGTATATTAAAATATTTAGCTAATATAGTGTCCATTCACAAAAATGCATTAAGAGTCCAAACAGTTTAGATTGTACAAGACGATGTACTAAGACTTATGACGGGCACATTGCATAACTTTTAGATAATGTTTTTCGTGCCACTTGCTTATTCTTGTCCATGTACAAGAAATCATTAAAAAAAAAAATATTTTGACACCTTTGACCATTGGGCCATACTTTGTACATAGGAACTAAACAAATCGTAACTTGTTGTTTCCTTATTCATAGGTCATGTCAGGTTACACTACAAAACACTCCCTGCTTTTTGTTCATTATTGGCTGGCAATTACTAACATTACACTTATATACCATGAAATTACACTGTATGGTTTGACGTAATTTTTTAATAAAAGTTTGATTTTTTTCTTCGTTGTGTGCAGAAATAGATTTTACCAATGATATTGATTTGTAACATAAGCCTTTTTTAAAATTATAAACAAATGATAAAATAATATAAATATTAATTTACTGTTTACAAATATAAAACTGCAGGGGTATTATAATATTGCATTTTTGTTCGTTATTTGGTTTTGATTAGTTGTTAAATATCAAGTAGAGCTTATGTGGTTTAAATCTGCATTCCTCACCCTGGTTTAAAAAAAAAAAGCATCCCTCGCCACTTATGAATTCTTTCATTTAAAAGTGAAAATCATATTTCAAAGTGGCACACTTTAATTTCTATATCCCCACTCTGCAATACAGGAGACAAAGATGTAAGCTTAATACAATGATTGCACGATTTTTAATTCTTCGCATATACAGGGTACCGAAAACACATTTACAGAATCGCTGTAAACAGTTGACGTAACATACTAAATAGATTAACTTTACAAATGTTTATTTATTTCATTTTTCAAGATATATATCATGCAGCGTGTGAAAACGGGATGCAGAAAGTGTACAAGGGCAGTGTGATAGTGGTTGGTCAGGCAGTTACAGGGAAAACACACCTTTGCCGAAATCTGCTGGGAGAAGACTTCACGGAGAACGACAAGGTGACGAACGGTATTACCGTCTCAGGATGTGTTCTGGACAAACACACAGCAGATACCACCTTCAGAAGACAAGGTGATAAACAACAGTTAACGGTTTCAAATACACCTGATTAATGAACAAATATAATAAATCTGCTATCTTAATGGGATACATTGTAAGTACTTAAACTTGCTGTATTTTTTTCCGTGTCTCATTTATTGTCTCTTTTCATTTTCTCTGTTTTAAGTAGCTCATGATAACAACGCAAAAATGAATGCATTTTTGACATTTAACCTTACGATGCCTCACGTAACGTTAGTTAGATGACTAAAATGACAAAAGCCTGCATAGAATAAAGTACCTTAGTGGGCTTATTTTTTTTTTACTTGTTGCATTCTGTAACCGATCAAAAATATCTTTCAGATAAGAGCTTCATCCAAAATTACTACAAAGATGCAATTGCCAGTGGCGTTAAGGAATACAGAGGGTCCGGTAATATTCAAAATGATAAATATGTACCAAGTGCATGATACGTTTTAGAAATAGTCGTTCTGAAGTCGTTGTGGATTAAATTATATATTTTCATTAATTAAAACTTGAAGACCCTATGCTGTTTTACATTTATTTATTGTGGATAAGTTTGTTTCATTCTAAACAGTATACATTGTTACCCAAAAAGACTGCCATACCTTCCAAAATCTGGGGTTTTAACAATATAATAGGCTTTTTAAGCTCTTCGTGTGTTGATATTTTGGCTTCTGTTTCACACAGTAGAATTATTTGACATTTATTTAGGTCAACTATAAACACGTGTCAACTTGTGTCAGCTCCATTTTTAAGTTGAGGGTGCGGGTTATGGGAATAGATTTAGCATGCTTTGTTACAAAAAGTCTGGGTTACACTGCTTTGCAACATATATGGTACCTGCAACATTGTGGTTACCGTTCGTCAGTCCATCGCTAAAGTCTTGCGACCGGTTTTCAATTAGAAAGTGTTTGATAGGTTGTATATTGCTTGGCAAACGGCGTGCAACTGTAACGTAAAGCTTGTGTGGTTTGTAGATATCATACTGCAACCTTGTAGCAACCGGTGTAAGACAATATGACCGTTCAAGTTAAACTTCAGATATATAATCCTACAACATTGGTCAACATTGATCAATATCTGCACTTTTAGAAATTCAAAATTACCTCCAAATGTAAGAAAAACAGGCCACCCACAGCAGTATGATGAATAAATCATGCACCAAATCTACAAGCATGAACATTTGCACAATGGTAGAGAACATGATATTAAGCAATTTTAGATATAGGAGCATTTCTGAAAATTCTGATATGGCCACCAATTTTTAAAGTAAAAAATATACCTCATGATATTATAATATTATTTATATTTGGTTTGAAAGTATCAAAAAATACTCCTTTAGTTACATTAAAATAAAAAATGACCGTATAAAGTGAAGCTGGACTCCTTTTGGTCAAGCTCTGACCACCACGTGCAGCAATTCTGTAGTTGCCCCAGGATATGAAACTGTCAAGGTATTTTCACAAATTAGTTTTAAATTAACGAAAGTTATTTTATAAAGAAGGTGTTGCACATTTTATGGGCTATCAACATATTACAACAGAGGATAACAGCCGGCTAGATCGAAATTGCACGTTTATATGCTTATTATATACTTGTTTTCTTCTTTTATTTGCAAGGGACTTTAATATCACATATGGTTACATTTCTACTTATTTTGTTTCATAATTCTCAATACAAGTGTGCATATTTTCAGTTGTGCTTCCCTCAGTTTTCTCAGAATTTGCCTAAAGCTATACCTTCTACATGTGATCCACTTACCCCAACAAAATACCAAGAGACATCAGAAACCATCAGTTTACATGCATGAGGGATAACTGGAATACTGTATGAAAAAGGTTGTGGTTGTGCATACTAGACGATATAGATTATTAGTGTGATTCCTTATAGGATCAGTCATCCCATGTTTCCGACTCCCCTCACCACAGTTTGCAATTGCACACATAACTACAAATGCGGTAGGAGCTAAGAGTCAATTTGTTTTGAAGTTTATGCTGCATCGACCAACAGGCGACGAAGAGCGTCAAGGGAAAATAATTCCCGGGAGGCTATTAATGTTGTCATGTGGATTTTTTTGCATTATGCAATCTGATATGCCCATATCTAATAATTTTTGGATATTTTGCGGTATGTGCTGCAATTATAACGATGTTTTAGAGTCCTTGAAAGACCTTGTGAAAACCAGAAAGAAGTTTGCAACTGACAACTGCGACAGTAACAGATGCCCTGGCAAAGATGACAGTCTGACAGCCTCTAATCTAAAAATCACAAACAAAGGGAGACTGGCAATCAACTCCAATAAATTAACACCGGGGAACTGGTCAGGTTGGATCTTATCTAAATGTCAGAGGTGATTGACGACCGAATATTGCATAATAGAGTCAGTTATAAGTAACTTGACCTAGTTTTTTGTACCTGTCAGCTTTGTGATCGGCTCACTTGTATTTTCTTTTCATCTTCTTGGGAAGATTTTATCAGCGAAAAGCTTATTTTTCACCATTGAAAAGCTTAATTTGTCCGACAAATGCATCACACTTATTGTACATTTGTACGTTTTTTTCTTTCTATGCTTTTGGGATTCAAAGAAGTGTAAAAGTGTGAAAATGTCAAGTGAAGCCCAGCTAATATGTGTAAAATTTCATGTCAGCAGGACGTATAATCATCTAAAAACTCACAATATTCATAAAAAGATAAATCATCGACTACAATCTTGGTTAGGTGCAATTCAGTTTTCAGTTGCGAACTACTTCCTGTTTTTTACAAGGTCCTTCAAGGACTCTAAAACACCATTATTATTGCAACGCATACCAAAAATAGTTAGATATGGACGTAATATATTACATACAAGCAAAAATTTCCACATAACAACGATGCAGCCTTGCCCTTGGGGGGGGGGGGGCATAACAAGAATGTAACGCAGAAAATATATCGAAATTAACCTCAAAATGGCGTCCATTTTTGTGGAATTTCGACCCTACGTCTATTTAAGAACAGTTTGTTTAGGAATTGAATGGATTATTGAAGCAGGAAATACATCTACTGCAAGAAGATATAATAAACAGAATGTGCAAATTGTTATTTAAATAAAAATTTATTTGAAGTCACTGAAAAGTGATCACAAAATTAGCATAACTTACGTTATATGCGGTGTCCCACCCCAATGAAAAGTTCATCTAATCCTATCTTTCCGTATTAAAACTCTTCAATCGTCCAAGGTAGTATGTCGGTTAGTTTGTGTCACGAAGTCCATGATATTATCAGTTTTCTTAAGAATTTCACATTTATTGCTGAACAAGGTCGATTTTTCTTCACCGCGTCCCAATGTAACGTTCGTTACGCTGAAAATTCAGAGATCGATTTTTATCAGACGACTTTAAAATGCCGCGTGAAAATTATACATCGATAGCCATCTTCTTCCATACTCACTAGATGATGACGTCTTACACACGAATGGCTTCTTTTGCACACTGAAAAACCAGCTCAAACTGGCGCGTGTCCCATTCTGACACATGTAATGCAGTGACGCTTTCGAGATCGGATGCAGGGCACAGGTGTAATTCCCTCGATTTAACCGCCACAGGACTATTTGTAGGGATCTTCTTCGTATGAAGGTGAGAAATAATGAGTTTTGTTTTATTTTTCTTCAATTGTTTCAACATATATGTGTACCGATTGATTATTACCATTCGATAAGTAGGGTGACTTCGTCCGAACTTTCGTCTTGCGTCTGTGTCACATGGGGGACTTAAGTTCATATTGAACATGGTAACGCGGTGACACCGTATTCATGTTCTCTTGTTCTCGAAAACTCAATCATTGAAATTGAATGTCTTTTTTTAGTTTTTTTCTTGAATTAAACTGCTACTATGTATTCAGTGCGTTTAAAATTTAATCGTCTGTAAAAACAGCAATAATGGATTACTCGCAACAATTACGTTACGCAATGAAGCACCGAAAATGGGTGAAGAAAATGTGTGTCAGTAATGCGTGTTTGCCACTCACAATGCACTGTACTTTGTTTGAATAAGCAATAAACTATTTGTGATCATAGGTTATCCATTGTTCGTTATCAGAGTAAACAGATTCTTTGTATGATTTTTTTTCAGAATCCCAAGAGTGGATGCCTTAGTGAGCACAGAGCAGATATCACCAGGAAGAATATTATAATACTGAACTTTGTGTTACACTGAACTTCATTTTGTTAAATTTTGTATTTAACTGAACTTTATTGTGTTAAAATAATAAAAAATAATAATAATTCCGATTAAAAAAACTACAATCTGGAACATTCTTTAGATCAACTTTGTTCAGTGTGTGTCCCATGTAACAGAGTTACAGTAAACAAAATATGTGCATTATTCCTCTGTGTTTGCCAATTCCATTTTAAAAGCATGTGAGGGTGATGTTCCCCTCATGGTTGAAGTGTGTGTGGATAATAGCAAAAATATTGTGATTATTTACATGATTATAAAAAGTTTTTGTACCCGCGACACTAGCATTACCGTGACCCACATATTCACCATTTTTATTAATTGTGGATTGAATTCTTCAAAACCAGTTTTAAATCATTGAGACAACACCCCCTTATGATTTGAACTAAAACTAAAAACATTCCATTAGATTTTCATTAGTTTTAGTGCCAAATATATCTCCCATGTAACGCGTCTTAGATTTGGAGGGTATAGCTGTTCAACTCTCTTGTGTGCCCTGGCAAGGGCATCTGCTATTTCCCTTTTGATGAAATGATAAACTGTGATGGTGTAGCTATCACATTGCAAAATTACAGCTTCCCAGAGAAAGTTTGAAATTTTCGGTCAAATTCAACATTTTGTAACCACTAGCAAAGAATGACTATTCTACAAGTATTTTCTGTCCAAAATACCAAAAGAAAACATGTTACCTCACTATGTTGTTTGAAAAAAAAAAACTGCTTCTTTTTCTCTGAGCCCACGTCTTCATTCCCGTTCACCTACTCCTAATAATGACCACTTGATTTCACGTCTAACACCACCACACGTCACTTCCGGCACACTTATGTCTTCTCCGGTACCATCTATTTCCGACCGTGCGACTAGGCTGAAGGGGCATTTATGTCCAGACATAAAGTGGATTGTTAGGGTAAACTAGATCTGTCTTCCACTAAACTATAGCTACTTGTAAAGCCGTTATAGGAAACTCGACTTTGCCTAACAGCTTGGAGAACTGTTACAAGAATAGTCCTTGGGTATTGCTAGACAAACCCTTAGTCAATCTGCCTTTGTCATTTTTACATTATAACAAAATATTTTTCACCGTAAAGGATGTAACTGACAAATAGCTATCAGTGTCCTGAGTATAATGTAGTATCGATGTCTATCGTTTGCTGTTAGTACAATAGTAGCATACAGGAGAAACTCAAGCCCAGAAAATAATAATTAAAAAAAGTTGAGACAAACTTTGTCCCAAGAGTGGAACAGATTCTCCCAGCAAAGATTAGTGGCACTAGTGAACAGCGCCTTTGTCACACCCGCTATCGATCTAATATTGCATACCAGTCGTAATTAAAAATTGTGTGAAATTTTGAATTTTATAATAACTTTTTTTTTGCATGTCTACCTATTAAACATTTGTATCTGCAACGATACGTTTGTACAATACAGAAAAGTTGACCTCTGTAACAAAAACCATAAACGATGTTAGCAGCGGTAGGTGTGGCAGTTATTTTGAACAACAATGTATATGTGTGTATGGTCATTTCTAGTTGGAAGAGATGACACGAGTTATTTAAAACTTTTTTTTAACTGACAGAGAATGCTTCAAAGTCACGGAGTGCACATGTTTCGATAAAGGTTGAAGAAAACGATGAAACCATAAGACAGATAGTAAAAGAAAGTGAAGGGCATCCAGATGTCCACGAATCAGTGTCACTGTGGGACTTTGGCGGTCAGTATGTCTTCTACACGACACATCAAACTTTCCTCACCTGGCGAGCTGTCTACTTACTGGTGTTTGACCTCACCAAAGGTTTAAATGCACCCGTCCACGTGAAGAGAGGTGGCACAGTTAAAGATATCAAAGTGGATATCATCCCTAGCACTGTTGGTGGTACGCATTCGATAATGTTTTGTAAATGACGTTTATTCTCATGTATGTAGAACTCCTAGTATGAATGTTAACAGAACTCACTATGGCATTTTAGGTCACGTGTGGTTTAGAAAGGCAAACATTAAAATGACTATATATATAATGGTGTATGTTTTATGTAAATAAGGTAATATAAGTTCATTTCTTTTCAGATTTTTTAAAGTTTTGGCAAAATTCTATCCATGTGCAAACTAAGATAGTTGATCACCTGGGATTAGAGTATATTTGTCCTAAAATCCTATTAGTGGGGACACACAGAGATAAACTTGGACATACAGAAGAGGTAGGGGCTCAAAATATGAGTTGAATTATTATTATTATTATTATTGTTATTATTATTAGAAGCCGTTGTCGTCTAAGTACATTGGAAAAATGCTCTTGATAGTTTTCGTAAACTACATTGAAAAGTCTCTAAACTCCAAGTCATTTATTCAGTATATGGCTTACATTCGGTTTACAGGAAAGGAAGAAGGCAGTAGAAGAAAGGTTTAGTGAAATTCAGGAATACCTGCGCAGGAGACCGGCACACGACATGCACGTGCAGCCATATTTATATGCTGTGAACAACTGCGACCCTCAGGACGCTGGAATACAAGAGTTAAGACAAGAAATATGTAAAACAATCAAGGAGCAGCCATACTGGGGTGAAGAGCAGCCGTTGAAGTACGTGCTTCTGGAAAAGAGACTAGAGGAGATCAGAGAAACTCAGAAGTGCCTCAGCCTTGATGAGGTGCTTGAGATAGGGATACAACATGGCCTGGTGAACGAAGAAATGGTTATTCACTTTTTGAAATTCTACAGCGATTTAGGGGAACTTGTTTTCTTCAATGAAGATAACACTCGCAATATCGTCATATTAGACCCCCAGTGGTTGATTGATGCCTTTGCATCCCTGATAACTGTAGAGAAGAACCACAAGGGTTCCAGCCTAGAAGCCATGGGTTATTGGGATCTGCTAGACGACAGGGGAGAATTGGATGAACGGTTGATTGACATTGTATGGAAGGAAGAAGCCGAGCTGAAGAAATACAAGGCCGTTCTTCTTCGTATTTGTCAGCGTTTTGACCTCCTAGTTGAGCTACAGGAGGAAGAAACCGACGGCCAATGGAAGAAATATTTAGTACCTTGTGTGCTGAAAAACCACCCCAATCCAGAAGGCTATTTGAAGATACCTGAATGTCCATCAGAAGGTTATTTGGAGATGCAGAAGATTCCTCCATTATACCTGATGTTTGACGGTGGATTCTGCCCCCCAGGACTCTTTCATCGCCTGGTGGTCTGCTGCTACAGGAAGTGGTCATCTCACGACCAAAATCCATACTGCAACTACGCTTGCTTCAAGGTGGACAGGTCAACTCACACAATATTGGAGTTATGTAATGAAGGGGACGGCACAATCAAACTCATGGTTGGCTCGTTGAAAAAAGGTGTCAACGTCTTGGAGAGGGACAGTGCATTTCAAGTACTAAGCTACATCAGGCAGGAGCTAGACCGACTTATTGGCGCCTACTTCCCTTACCTGAAGTACAGCATTGGGTTCCGCTTACCACACGGCTTGGTGAAACTGACGGAAGATCTGAAGACAGAGATGTTGGATAGTGACGACGTTTGTCCACCTGGCTGCCGTGAAGTTGTTGAAACCGCCCCGTACAGAAAGTGGCTCAGGAATAATGAAAATACCATTTGTCCATCAGCCAGTATCGGTAGGTGAATCTGTGCAGGTATTGTCATTTCATTTTCTTGACAGTGAAAGTAAATATAAAGAACTGTGTCAAGATTCGGGTAACACTTGGCATTCACATTTCTACATTTATTTGTTATTTTATATGGTTTTAAAATATTAAGAGACACTGTTTAAAGAGGCATGCATTGAGACAATTTGATCAAGCGGAAGCAAATCTATGAAATCTAAAAAATGATCTAGTTTAATTTACTATGTTAAGAAATTGATTTAGTAGATGAATGTTCACTATTATAATAAGTTACATGTTATATGAAATAATAATAATAATAATAATAATAATAATAATAATAATAATAATAATAATAATAAATTGGTCTGAAAATGACGAACTGATCCTAAAACTTATGGCGAGGGATATTAATGTTTTGTCACTTATTGTTGGTCGATTATTAAGAATTCTGCTGTTTCATTTTTATATCGTAGATGTATATCCACCTGATGACATGGTGTGCGACCTTTCAAGAAGAATTGGAGTCGAGTGGGAGGAAGTAGCTGCCTATCTTGGAGTGAAAAGAGCTCACATAGATCAGCTCAAACTCGACAACCCCGGCAACACGCGTGGTCAGATTCGCAATATGCTGTTTCAGTGGAGAGATGCCATGGAGACAAGCAGCAATGAAGAGCGTCGAGACAAGCTGAAGGAAGCGTTGGCAAGGGCTCAACGTAATGACTTAGCGGACAGTCTTGCATAGGACACAAGTGGTGACATATTGTTTGTTTGTTTTGGTAAAAATAAGCATGCATCAAATACACCTAAAGACCACAATCCATAATGTCTGGCCGGAAAATAGGCTTTTAGACATCAACATGCTATTTCATTTTTGCGAGTTTAAATATTTTACAGTGTTAAGATTTCAATTATCACAAAGTAATTTGTTTTGGGTCCGCTAACTTCACATTCCTTGCACATAATGTCACAATTTGAACATGTAGACGGGAATTTTTTCTTGTCGGTGTGGTGAGTTGGACAGACAATTCAATCACTCAAATTGACTTCTACTTTCTTGTGACCTTGACCGTTACTATCATCGGAAATCTAGGAGAGCGCGAGTGAGTAAAGTTAATCAACCAAATCAGCTCCTTCAAACACCTCAAGGTCAAATAAGCCTAATTACCGGCAATATAGGTCTTCCTATTGGTTAGAAGGAATACATTGTTCCTAGAGGAGAAATAGTCATGCTGTTCACAAAGGACATTTAGTGTGGTTAGCTACCTTTAATATTTATTATTCAAGATTTTTAAAAACAAAATGTATGAACAAATCACACTCACAGTGATGGAAATGGTTTGATTGAAACGATACTGAAGGACACCTTATAGACTATCAGTGCGTGGATTCTCTATGTACAGTTTGTGATGTATGATTCAACCTCTATCTGAGCAAAAAGGAAATGTTCAAAGACTATTACAGCTTTTTCTTTACCGTCAAATCGGAGATGAAAAATAAAAGCAAATGAAAAGCAAATGTTAGGGGGGTGTTGTAGCTGCACTCAGTCAAAAAAGGGTATCTCTTTAACTGGTTGAATTTATTGAATTCAATCGTAAAACTGAAAGAAAAATTAAATAAAAACAAAATAAATAACAGAACAAAAATGTAGCGAAAGATACTGAAAACAAATTAAAATACAAAATAACCTAAAAATTGATAATAAATTTACACGAAGTACATACGAAAGTGTAAGAAAAAGGATAGACGGAAACGTTGCAAAGAACCAAAGCCGGAGAAGTTTACGTTACTTTAGCGTTGAAATAATTTGACTTATCCCCGACCAAGTGTGCTAATATCGTTATAAAAGGATAGATAGAAACGTTGAAAGACCCAAAGCCAGAGAAGTTTACGTTATCATTGAATTATTTACCTTTTCCTCCGACTGGGTGAGCTAAAATGGTGTCGTTTGTGTACCCGTATCGTTCTGTGTAAGAAAGTGAAGTGAGCAAAGAGAATTAGAAAGGAAGCCTTATATATGCCGTGGAATGAAAACTGTTCAGTGCAGGGTGTGGTACAGGCATGTGACGGTGCGGTTAGGTAGGTGCGGTGGCCTGTAACGTTATAATTAGTAGAGAGAGAGAGAGAGAGGGAGAGAGAGAGAGAGAAAGAGAAAGAAGAAAGAACGGAAAATGTACATGAATAATAAGTAAACAAAGAACAAACTAAAATAAAAATAAATATAAATAAAAATATCGCGGGCAGTTACACTCCCACCAAAATCAAAATGGTCCCCACNACCGTTGGTCCCCACGGGAAGAGAAGCTGCACCGTTGGTCCCCACGGGAAGAGAAGCTGCACCGTTGGTCCCCACGGGAAGAGAGAATTTATTGAATTCAATCGTAAAACTGAAAGAAAAATTAAATAAAACAAAATAAATAACAGAACAAAAAATGTAGCGAAAATTACTGAAAACAAATTAAAATACAAAATAACCTAAAAACTGATAACAAATTTACACGAAGTACATATGAAAGTGTAAGAAAAAGGATAGACGAAAACGTTGCAGAGACCCAAAGCCGGAGAAGTTTACGTTACTTTAGCGTTGAAATAATTTGACTTATCCCCGACCAAGTGTGCTAATATCGTTATAAAAGGATAGATAGAAACGTTGAAAGACCCAAAGCCAGAGAAGTTTACGTTATCATTGAATTATTTACCTTTTCCTCCGACTGGGTGAGCTAAAATGGTGTCGTTAGAGTCCCGTATCGTTCTGTGTAAGAAAGTGAAGTGAGCAAAGAGAATTAGAAAGGAAGCCTTATATATGCCGTGGAATGAAACTGTTCAGTGCAGGGTGTGGTACAGGCATGTGACGGTGCGGTTAGGTAGGTGTGGTGGCCTGTAACGTTATAATTAGTGGAGAGAGAGAGAGAGAGAGAAAGAGAAAGAAGAAAGAACGGAAAATGTACATGAATAATAAGTAAACAAAGAACAAACTAAAATAAAAATAAATATAAATAAAAATATCGCGGGCAGTTACACTCCCACCAAAATCAAAATGATTTTAAGTAAATAAAGAAATCTAACTGCTACGTTATGAATACGCAAAAACCACTGAATGCTAGCAAATAGAAAAACAGTAAATGTACCATTAAACGGTTACTGCTGGCTGTCCTTAATTGAAGCAATGTACGTTATACAAATAAAATTAATGAATTCAGTCTTTCAATGATATATAATCATTTTAAGCAATATATGTAGACTCGTTCCAATAGTGTCCATATATCATCAGAAATATATTACTGTCACTGCAATAAAGTCATTGTAGTAATGTCACTGTTGTGTATGTACATATGTAAACACTTTAATTTTCAACCAATAATACCAATTTTTGTACATTTTGCTCAAGAATAGAAGATCGCAAAGTTTCAGAACAACCCGTTCTGACTTTAACTCTTCTCACAAGTCCGTCATCGTCTGCATTGGCTTCCACCACTCGAGCCAGAGGCCACTGGTTTCGAGGAAGTTCTATATCTTTGATCAAAACAACATCTCCTTTCCGCATATTACGACGAGGTTCATGCCACTTCTGTCACAGAGAAATTTGACTAATGTATTCCCTTTTCCATCTAGACCAAAACTGTTCCAGCAAATATTGGACGCGTCTCCAGCGCTTTCGTAGAAAGAGATCTGCCCTGACGAAATTTCCTGGAGGAGGTAACGGTATATCAGCCTTGGCGGTCAAAATGTGGTTTGGAGTGAGCGGTTCAAGGGTTTTCGGATCATTGATTTCACTCACTGTTAATGGTCGGCTATTGACGATTGACATGACCTCGTAGAAAACGGTCCTGAGGGATGAATCGTCCATTCTACCTGGGCACAATTGAAGCACAGAATTAAGAATTTCCCTCACAGTTCTTTTTTGCCTCTCCCACACTCCTCCGGTGTGGCTTACATGGGGCGCATCAAAAATAAAGTCACATTGCCTTTTGGTTAGAAACATTGCTGTCTTGTTGCTGTCCACTCGATGTTGAAATTCGTTAATAGCACCAATGAAGTTGGAACCTTGGTCTGAAGGGATCTGTCTAACAGCACCACGAATCGCAATGAAACAACGTAAAGCGTTGATGAATGAATCAGTTGACATGTCATCTAACAACTCAATGTGGATTACACGTGAACACATACAAGTTATCAAAAGTCCATACCTTTTCATTTCTTTGCGTTCCTGTTTAATAAGAAAAGGCCCAAAACAGTCTATACCGCAGTACTTAGGTGAAGGGTGGCGTTGGTTCTACGCGATCCTTGGGTAAATTTGCCATTTTCTGGGACTCGGTGGGTCTTCTCAATCTTCTGCAAGTAACACACTGACTAATGAATTTTGCGACGACTTTGCTGCCACCTACAATCCAAAAACCAAGGGAACGAAGCTTGTTGAGAGTCATACCTCTGCCCTGGTGTTGGGAGTCCGTGTGAGCATAATCAAGAATCAGTTTTGTGACATGACGATTCTTTGGTAGGATGGCTGGATGTTTTAATGGCGTTGGAAAACCTGCTTTCCGTAATCTGCCGCCGTCTCGAAAAAGACCATCTTCAAGAACCAGATCTAGAGGGTAAAGCTGATGTGTCCTGAGTAACGTGGTAGCTGCATCGAGGGCACTGAATGCGTCTGGAAATGCCTTGCGTTGGGTAAGCATAACAAGAGGTTTTTCTGCCTTTCTTCTTTCTTCAATTGTCAGAGGCTGTGTTCCATTTACACCATTTGCAATTCGTGGGATCCTCCCCATGTCAGACTCGGTTTTCCACGAACAAGAGAATCTCGTGAAGAGGTCAAGGATATTTGGCATTGTAGACGTAGCTGCAGTACACAATGAAAAGGCTCTCACCTCTGGATCCCTCAACTGTAGTTCTGTAGTGACACGTTCCAGTTTCACCTGCCGTTGCCTAGGAAAGGAGGGTCCAGTCAACCGTGGTGATTTGGAGATTTCAGCAACGCTGCTGCTTTTGTCATGAGCGAAGTCCTTTTCTTTTACTCTGATGACCTCTTTTGAAGAACACTGAGGTAGTTCATTGACGGCTGTACGATGAGCAATGACAACGTTGAAATTGGCACATGGAGGAGTAGAATACCCTACCACGCTCCAACCAATTAGAGTCTGAACTGCAAAAGGCTGATTTTCTTTTCCAATTAAGACCTTTCTGGGAGCAAGAGCCATCGGACAGTTGTACCCGATCAAAAGTCCTACCTCACATGACTGTAGGGGTGGTAACTCGGCACTAAGTTGCTGTAAATGTGGCCACTTACTAACTGTTTTCATCACTGCAATATGAGATCGATTTGCTGGTATGAAATCTCTGGTGAAACAGACATTGATGGACACGACTTCAGATGAGTTGAAGGCTCTTACTTGTAAACTGGAAATCCGGGAACTGTTAATAACTGTGTTTGAGGCAGTCATTGTTGACAACGATAAACGTGCGGGCTGTCCAGTAATCTGCAATGCTGTGGCCGTCTCTTGAAGAATAAAGGAAGTGTCGCTCTGTGTGTCCAAGAGAGCATACGTCAGGATTTCCTTTGACGGATTTTCCCTACTGGAAACCCACACTGAAACTATCATGGATGTGCTGTCATCTTTACCTTGGTCAATCTGGAGATAATTTGCTACCTGGTACTCTGCTGGCGGTTGTGGGCGCGCTAATTTAAAGTTGTCATCATGTAAACACGTGGGATGTCTTCCCTGGCATTTTTTGCATCTTAGTTTCCTT